TTATTTATGTGACTTGCTTATTAACTACGTTAGCTATTTCTTAGAATTAAATTATTAATATTAAAGTTACTAAATTCTATAGGCTTAGCTGTGAGTATATAGTAGCTATGATACTATCTAGCACCTAACTCGAAGAGTAGGTGTGTGGCACGTGTACCTAACTAAATACCATTATGAATAGCAGTTGGACACCTTGGTCATGTGACCCAGCACGTGATGGCCGGCCGACTCCACTGTTTAGCTCAGTTCATTACATTCAGCGAATCTAGGACTGGATCAGATGTCAGCAGAGACAATTGAGCACGATTGAGAAGTCATAGCCAACCATTCTTGCATCAATTATCATACCGCAAGAATGGTTTCATCGGTGATTGCGGCGCGCTCTGCGCGAACCATCGTCCCCAATGCCGCTCCGAAGCGTCTCCTTTCCGACATCGCTATTACTAGGACTGGCAAGCCAATCATTCGCACCGAGGGTGGAAGGTAAGCGAGCAAGGTCAATTGAACATTCACCACTGCGGCTAACATTATCCACTCAATAGATCATCTCTTGGAGGTTCGCCGATTTTCCTCTCGCAATATCGAGGGCAGGACTGATAGATACTACACAGGTCACACTGCAACAGTCTTCGGCGCAACCGGCCAACTCGGTCGATACATCGTGAACAGACTCGGTATGGCAGCCTGCTTGGGCTGAGAATTGTGTATAAAGTAGAGCTAATAATATCAGCTCGACAAGGGTGTACTGTCGTCATTCCCTTCCGAGAGGAGATGGCGAAGCGCCACCTCAAAGTGACTGGAGACCTCGGTCGGGTTGTGTTTATCGTAAGAACCTCGTGATTGTGTGCTGCTAGGCTACATGACTGATTTACGTGTTAGGAATACGATCTCCGCAACATAGCTTCTATCGAGGCTAGCGTGCGGCACTCTGATGTCGTCTACAACCTCACTGGCCGCGACTATCCGACGAAGTGGGCTCTATCGTCTCTCCGAATATTATATAGCGCTAATGTTTTCAGAAACTTCTCGCTGGCCGACCTCCATGTTGAAGGAACTCAACGCATTGTCGATGCTGTCGCCAGGTATGATGTCGACCGGTATATCCATGTCTCCTCGCACAACGCCAACTCCGAGTCGGCATCTGAATTCTTTGCTACAAAGGTGCGCTACTAGCGAGCTTATAAAGAATCAATACTAAACTTTTTCAGGGACGTGGCGAGGAAGTTGCCCGAAGCATATTTCCAGAAACTACCATCGTTCGCCCTGCTCCAATATTCGGTTTCGAGGATAGTTTGCTTCTGAAGCTAGCTTCCGTGCTGAACTTATTTACAGCGAATAACATGCGAGAGAAGTTTTGGCCTGTTCACGTAAGTTGGAACTACCTTGTCCAGGTCAGCAAGCTAACTTGAGTAGTCAATTGATGTTGGCGCTGGTTTGGAAAAGATGCTGTACGACGACTCTACTGCGGGCCAGACTTTCGAGTTGTACGGTCCCAAGCAATACAGCATGGCGCAGATAGCCGAAATGGTCGACAAAGAAATTTTCAAGCAAAGAAGACACATCAATATTCCAAAGGCTATACTTAAGCCCGTTGCAGGTGTACTTAACAAGGCTCTTTGGTGGCACACTTTGTCGGCCGATGAGGTGGAGCGTGAATTCATTGACCAAGTCATCGATCCCGAAGCCAGGACATTCAAGGATCTCGGCATTGAGCCCGGTGATATCGCCAACTTCACCTATCATTACTTGGTAAATTTTCTTTTGGCTAGTAGCCTTCTTCCTGACCATGTACTAACTTCAGATTTAGCAAGGATTCCGTAGTCAGAACTATTATGATCTGCCACCAGCTACGGAGAAGGAGAAGCGTGAGGACAAGAAGTACATACATGTCTTGGATGAGTTGTAAACTTGACGGCTTCCTTGACGGCTTCCATCTGTATATATAGCGCTGTGTTCTAAAAGAGCTGGGAGCCCAGCGGCATACAGTCAATTCTATATCCTTTTATTTTCCGAGATCCTTGGTTTTGGGGGGGATTTGGTTCTTGTACATGTATAGTAACCCATATCACGCTCAGAAGCATCGCTTTGTTGAGGTGGCCTCTTTCAGACTAGACAGGACTAGAAGCAGACCGCGAGCGTAGTCAGCTGCGACGGAAGTTCAGATAGTGATCTGCAGGGTTCATTCATGTCTCGCAGAATTGCAAGCTCTGCATCTTAAGCGGCAGTGCCATACGAAGGGGGCCACATTCGAATATGGGATCAATGTTGTATTACAACAAATATGAAACGCGTCGATCGATAACGCCAATACGCATCTTCATGTGTGCCGCAACCGTGGCGCTATAGCAACCCTTGATTTAAGCTACATCGTCTGACTCTCTGCAGCTACAGGCTCAGGCAGATTTTCGGCAAGCTGTTAGCAATGACATCCTATGCCAGAGATCGAATGATATAGAAAAGAAGATATGCCTGGGCACCAAGAACATCGGATAGGCTTGCGAGCTCGACCTTATGGTCGTTAAATTTGAACCACTGAGAAGGGAAAGTCAACAAGCATCAAGATGTATGAATGTAAAGCCAAACTGACCTGATCGCCTACGCGGCAGTACGAAGTATAATGCCCCGTTTCAAGCTCTCCAACATGAACAACCACGCTGAGAAGGTCGTACACACATGATCGTTGCAATTCCATGTTTTCTCGGCTGTCACGACTACGAACCCGATTTGTGTATGGGAGCATGTTAAGTTGTAAGGGAAAGTGCACTGGCACATCAACCTTGGAGGCGGCATGATCGTGCCGCCCCTGCTTGTACTCGAATCGCTAAGGTGAGAAAACTTAGAATATAACGATACATTGAGGTTGGACTGGAGTACGCTTACCTTGAGTTGTATCGATAGCACATTTGGTAGACGCTTGACGCTTGTGTAGCGTCTCGCTTGCTGCGTTGAAGCACAATTATGGCATCGATACTCACACTTATCTGACTTGATGTATTCCTCATCAAGACAGTCCGCTAGACTCAAATTGGAAGATTTCTGTCCTGATTTCTTGTTTCTTCTTTGTGCAAGGCTGTCGAGTCCCACACTTAAGTCCAGGAAGGACTGTACTGTGTTGCTAGAGCTGTTACAGTTTTGGCACGTTGTCGTCGTTTGCATTTTTCCGTAAAATGTCTGGTGAATAATGCAATTACAGCTGTGTTCGCTTCCAATCTCGGGTTTCTTGCCGTCGCCATTGCGTTCATGCAAATCCTCGGCCAGAAATTGAAAAAATTCATGGGCGTCTTGCTCTTTGGTTGTCACCAGATTTTCAAACGCTTTCTTCTCCGATATCCAGAAACCAGACAGAATATTCGCAGCTGTATACCCATTGGTATTCTCCAGTGCATAGAAATCCTGAAACATGTCATCCATAGCACAGCTCAAGCAGTGAGGCACGTTGCACTCATTGCTTTGATGCCCGTCGCTGAGGTAGAAGTTCCGTAGAAGAGGGTTGTGTAGGAAGCTCTGCAGAACAACATTCTGGTAGCATGTTGCCCCTGCATTGTATATACCTCGAAGGCCATCCGCACGACAAGACGCAAGAGTCGTATTAGAAGAAATGTATCTCGGGTCGTCCTTGATTGAGTCTGTAAAAAGCTCATCGTGTTTCCTTTTGCGGCCTTCGAGGTTGTTAACTTTGCTTAAACTGACTGAAATCGAAGCAAAGAAGGATTCTTACCAGAGAAAGAACCTGTACCAATTTTACGCAAACGAAGTTCTTCAAGGGTAGGGTCCCAAACCAAATCATCGCAGATTTGGCAGTACAATGCTCCATTTCTCGAGTCAACATCTATCAGAGTCAGCCAAGGGACATCGGATGTTCTGAGCGTGATGTTTACAAAATCTATGTGACTTTTTGTTTCCATGCCCCAATCTGTCTTCCTCGGAAACTGTAGTTGGGCACTGAAGACATAGGAAATTGGACGTCAATGTAGTGATCGGTCGTCCTTCTTTATTTGTGGAAGTCTGCGGTACAATCGGGTTCGTATCGAATATCCCACGCAGAATCATTTTGTAGTGAGCTATCGAACTGTTGATGACTTCTTGACCTTGTGAAAGGAGCAGCTGAACGTGTTCTAGTAAGCAGAGTTAGCCATCCATTCATGGTGGAACCGGATCTCTAGCATACCGCATCCAAACATAGGTGACGCTGGTGTGGGCGACTTCACACGAGCATTTCGTGGAGAAGCCGGAGTAACTGGTCGGCTAGGCATGGTGTCCAACTTTGCTGACCTCACATCGATCGCGTGCGACGTGTCACCAAGTCGGAGGTTGTTTTAGGACACAACAAGCTGTATTTCCGTTGAAATGGTCTTGCTCCGTACTTCAACGCTGTTCGATCGCTCAATGGAACAGTAGGCGGTGTTCTGTCGAATGCGAGCAGATAGGGTCGCTTCCCACGATCGTGAATAGGGATACCTGCGGCACAGTGGGCTCCTATGACTAGTACCGGCGCCTAAAGCTCGATGCTTGTGTTTCCGGTTCCAACGCGAAGGTACATTCGGAAGCGTCCGAACACTGCAGTAGCATCCAAATTCTGCCTCGCGTTGACTTATCTGTTTGGGAGGGTCAGGCAGCACGTTGCTGGCTGTGACATGTAACTACCTATGCTTTTGAAGCCATTGAGCTCATCAGGAGCAGCCTGCAGGTAGTTCCTTATCGATTACGGTGAGTGCGGAACCGGATAATATGTTAAAAGTCGGGCAAGAGGTGCTAAATATAACGATAGCTTATCCCTAATCTATAGTTAGTCTATTTCATAGGAAGTAAGTTAAGTTTAAGTACTATAAGGTAATAATAAGTAATATTTTTATATAAGAAATTATTAAAAGTAAAACTTCTAAAATTAATTACTTAGAATTATTTAAATGAATTAATATAAATCTAAACTATTTAGTTATAAAAATACTTTTTTTTAAATATTTTTTTTATTTTTTTATTATAAACTTAAATTAATAAACTTTATTTTTAATTTTTTAAATTCTTTTTTAAAAATTAATAACTTAATATTTTAAGTCTTTAATTTTAAAAAAGTTATATAATTTCTTTATTTTTTTTTAAATATTAATATATTAAAGTTTAGTTTATTTTTACTTAGTTTTATATATATAT